CACTGTCATAATCATAGAGTTCTTCCTAATCTCCAACCTAAATTTCTCCATCTTGTCCTGGTCATTCTGGATCCTAGCCCTACCCTCCACACTGTCTGCAACTCCTCTCAACTTGGTATCATAAACAAATTTGCTAAGCACGCATTCAATCCCACTGTCCAAATCATTAATGAGGATATTAAACAATGCTGGAGCTAGGACAGACTCCTGGGGAGCACCACTCGATACTTCCTCCCATCTAGACATGGAACCATTGATGACTGCTCATTGAGCATGATGACCCTATCAGCTTTGTCTGTACCTTATGGTACTTTCATTTAGTCTGTGTTTCCCTAGTTGGTTCATGAGAATGCTGTGGGAGACAACATCAAAAGCCTTGCTCAGGTAAAGGTGCATTACAACCATTGCTCTCCCCTCAACCACAGAGACTGTTACCTTATCATAGAAGGAAATCAGATTGGCTAGGCATGACTTGCTCTTGGTGAATCCATGCTGGCTGTGCCTGATCACCTTGTTTTCCTCTAAGTGGTTTACAATGGATTCCTTGAGGACCTGCTTCATTATCTTTCCAGGTATTGAGGTTAGACTGACTGGTCTGGCAATTCCCCATACCCCACTTCTTCCCTTTCTTAAAAATGGGCACTATGAATGCCATTTTGAATCATTTGGGACCTCTCCCAACCTCCATGATTTCTGAAAGAAGATACCTAATGGCTCAAAAATTACCTCAGCTAATTCTTTTAGTACCCTAGAGTCTATCTCATCTGGCCCTGTTGACTTGACAGTATCTAGCTTCTCTGAATAAGCCATAACCTGTTCTGCCATTACTCTAGGCTGTTTGACTCTGTCCATATCTTTGCTGCCAACTGTGCTTGTCATCTGACAGTTGCCTCTGTTTGTAAAGGCCGAAGTAAAAAGGCTTTGTTTTCATGAGAAGCCCAGCTCAAACACTGTGGGCACTTTTACATGTGCTCCAGGGGTAGGGGGAGTGGGGCGGCACTTTAATTAAAGCATCTCTAAGAGCTGCTCTAATTAAACTGCCTCTGCATCTCCTGCATCTGCCTCCCAGTGCTTAAAAATGGTGGTGGAGGCACTTGAACTAAAACTCGTTTGATGAGCTTTGATTCAAGCACCCCTGCCAACATTTTAAAGCATGGGGATGCTGGTACACAAGACACAAGAGGCTGCTGGAGCATCTGCTCTGAGTTCCAGTGCATTGAAGCAGCCTTGGCATCCGTGTACAGGTGCCCTGTATGCTGCATCTCACGAGCAATTTTCATGGAAAGCTGCAAATGTGGTTGGATAATCACTCCAACCTACCATGCTCTGTCATTATGTCCAGAACCATCTTCTTTTGTTTGTTCAATGCTACCAAATCCATCCATTGATTTCACAGAACAAGGGCAGTTCTTGCTATTTGAATTAAACAGGGATAATATAGTTTATCTGTAATTAATAATGCCCATGACATCTGACCCTTCTCCCTTCCATATTTCCAGTGTTCTTTAAACTGTAACTAGGTTGAGACTCTCCTTAACAATGCCATGAAAAAACCAAAAAGCTTATTAATATGTCTCTTGCACCACAGATGTATTGTCTGGCTTGTCTACTAATTTTTTATACAAACGTTATTTAGAAATTTCTGAGATAAATCTACAACACTAAAATAAGCCTTTAGAACAACCCCTTGGCTCATCTGACAGAATTAAATATGTTGATATTAACTTAAATAAACATGTAAGACTAAAGACTGTCTATTCTTGTAATTTTACAGGAGGTTAATCACACAGCAAGAGGTCTTCCACACAACTTAACCTGCCATGGGGTTAGGGCCAAGGACAGAGCAACTACACAGAGGGTTTCCCAAAAGTGGTAGGGTCTGATATGTCAAAGTAGTGGTCTCCACAGTGGATGCTGAGGGAGAAGCTACTTGATCCATTACTGGATTTACAATTATTCTTAGATTGCACCATCCTTTTTGCAAATACAAATAATTCTAGGCTGAAATTATCCTAGTTTACTGCCCCACAACTGGGGCTGTGCAGAGAACAAAATTTCCAATTTACAAGAATTTCAGGATTTCAATATCTAGCTTCATTCTAAAACAGAATGGAAAATGAAATAAAAGAGATATTCATGAGGGTAAATTAAAAATAAAATGATTTTGTTTTGGTTTTGACTTTAAAAAAGGTATAGAAACATAATATAACATATACAAAATGAAATAAAAAGGCAAAAATCGATTAAAAAAAAATCAAAAGTATTCTGTCCTGAAAATGTCAAAATGGAACAGGTTAGCCTTTTTTTTTGACAATTTCCATGCAGTTTTCTTCTGAAATGAAAGTCTGACAAAATAAAAACAATTTTATGAAGCATTTCAACTTTGATGGAACTACATAGTCTCACAGGATATAATTCTGTCAAGGTTTTTCTGCCCTCCCTACTTCCTGCCATATTATCTCCGTAAATTAGTTAACTAGACACCTGATATCAGCTCTTCATCACTTGAAATCCTTAAATTAAGACTGGATGTCTTTCTAAAAAACATGCTCTGGTATACCCACTACAACTTGGGCTCAATGCAATAAGTACTGAGTGAAATATTACTGCCTCTGTTAAACACAGGATCATATCAGATAATCTTAATAGTCCCTTCTGGCCTTATATTTACTAATTACCTCTAATTATTAATTACTATAGAAGTCAGCCATTTTTTAAAATCAGGTCCTAATTATTCATTCATATTAAATTCTAAATTCTAGGTCTGTAAGAGCATTCACAGTAGATTCATGGTGGGGGTAAATTTTTGAACAACAAATCATTCAGGTAGGAAGGAAGATCTTATACTGAAGCACTGAAAAAGATCTCAATTCAGCTCCTGGTTCTGCCACTGATCCCCTCTATGACCTTGAATACAAAGTGCTGAAACAACTAGGTGTGTAGTGCTACTCACACACTTAAAGTAGGGGTGTCAAACTCACCTGGCCCACTGGATGGATGAATGGCTCAAGGTCAGTTCATGGGACAGAATGGGCCCACAGACCAACTCTGCATGGTGGATCAAGCACACAGGGCCGTTCTAGCATGGGCATCAACATGCAGCATGCATCCTGGATCGGCTCTGTATATTGCATACAGCATGCTGCTTGCATCCCAGACTGGTCTTGCATACAGCATGTGGCAGGTGGGTCCACTCCAAGACCCATGGGCAGCACCACAGGTTGGATGATAGAACTTCCAGGGCCCAATCCAGCCCATAGACTGCATCTTTGACACCCTGGTTAAAGGTAAGCATGTGCTTAAGAGGGTAAAAGTGTTTTCTGCATTGGGGTCAAAGTGTTTTCTGTTGAACATTTTGTTGAAGTGCTTGCAGAATCAAACACTTCATCTCTGTGAACCTTAATTTCCCATTGATAGAAGGGGCATAACAAGCCTTGATTCTGCCAAACATCTTCTATAAATAGACTAGTTCTTCAAGTCAGAGACTGACTTATATTACATGTTTATAGACTGCTTACCATTATGGAGACTTGACATCTATTTCAGCCTCCTTATGCTATATACTGTATTTACTCAAATCTAAATAGTACCAGCCCAGGGCAGGTGGCAGCTCAGTTCTGGCTTTGGCCCTGAGTTCGAGGCTGAACCTGGGGATGAGCCACCACCTGTCCTAGGCTGCAATGGTCCATTAGGTGGGGGAGGGGGCCTGCAGTTGGGTAGAGGCATGGGGAGACTGCAAGGTGGGTGGAGGAAACTCCAGCCTCCCCCCCTCTGCTCCTTGCCCTGATGCCTGTGCTTGCTGCCCCACCTTGTGTTTCTCCTGCCACCTGTTCTCCTCTGCAGCCTATACCCCCACTTTCTGTTTCCTCCCTGCAGGTGTCGCATCTGCTCTGTTGCTGCTTCCCCCTGGCTGGGCTGAGTTGAGACTTCACTATTTCTGACTACAACTATATCAAGAGGTTAAGGAAGGGTGGGCAGAAATTAGGTGGCAGACTTTAGTGGGGAGCAGGGGTGGTGGGGCAGGGAGTGTGGGGGCAGGTACAGGCAATGGAGAAAGGTATGAGGGCAGGCAGCAGGGGCAGACACAGACATGGAGGACCAGGTGGGAGGGGGGCATGGCAAGGGGTAGACAGTTGTGGGGGCAGGAATTGGTGGGACAGGCACATGGGGCAGGGGTCTGGCCCTTTGCCCTATAGCAGTGGTGGGGGGCATGAATTTAAGATGACTTTCTGCTAATTAGATTCTAAGCATGAAAATAATAACAATTTTATAATTTTCCATGTATAAGATCTAATTATGGGGAGTTATGTAATTTTGAAGTCATAATGGATTCAAGTAAATACAGTAATATCAATATGGCCATAAAACAAGAGCTATGTGAAAGTGTATTCAAAGTACTGTTTTCCATGGGGAAGGCTAAGTATTTAACACTATCCTGTTCAAGTCCCTTGGAATCAAAATGGAATGGAGTTTTCCATTATTTTCTTCAAAATGTCTAGGAAGATTTTTCATTAAGCTTATCCACATAGTTGATTAAAAAAGACATGAGTGTTCTAGCAAATAAACATTTCAGTGGCCTGAGCTATTTTGTTACCTCTTCTAGGTTTCACCAAGTGAGTGTAAAATATGATAAAAAATAGTATTTCACTTTTATATTGAAAAAACACAGTTATTTCCAAGTCAGTACATTTAAGTATTAAGGATTCAGTCTTATAACCTTCATTTATCACTCCCATGATCAAAGGCCATTGGATTAGGCCTGTGAGGGTTCCTATCCAATCCAAGATCATTTGTTACAAACTGTCATGACATTGTGTGAAGCTAGAGGAAACCCATTCAAAGCAGAATTTTAAACTGGAAAAGCTTCCCCAATATCAACATTGTATTACAAACCCAGATCTCAGGTTGCATTCACCTGAAGTTCAGTAGTAAAGCCACACAAATGAGATAATTGTTCTGCAAATGAAATAGATAAATAAAGCCAAAACCAACAATCTTACCCAACCCCTGAGTAATTCATATGCTGTAATTCCCAGTGACCACCAGTCTACAGGGTATGAGTATCCTGGGCCTCCATCCATGAAAGCCTGGAACACTTCTGGAGCTATAATAAATAAATCGAATCAAATCAAAACAATTATATGTTATGTGGATTGTTAGTAAAAGATTTCACTTGGGGGGAAAAATAAATAGGTATGCAGTTAATTGAAATTAAGCACACAGTGACTGTGCCCAGGCAGAATTCTCCAGAGTGCAACTTAATTGATTAATTTAACTAGAAATGAGATGTTTTGCATGCTACATGGCACCATACATATTTCTTGGACCATCACGGTTATTACAACACTCCAACCCTACATAACATTTGGGCCGTACTTCTTTCTTTACCTGTACAGTGAACAGCCCTGTTTCATCAAGTATTTCCTAGAAGAAGAGTTTATACAAAACTGGGGTAAATTAGCACATATTCTTACAGCTGAATGGCTGCTAGTATCTACATAAACTTGCTGAAATCTAGCTGAGGTATCTCTGTTCTACACAGCCATCTGGAGTCTAGACATACCTTATGTTGCTAGAAATTGCCCAATAGATAAACTTACTATCATATAGACCCTAGTGAAAGTAATTTTTTATAACAGCATGCAAGCTCAGGGCCAGCATACTAGCATAAGGATGGATTACTAAATGCTGTGTGTACATTTCTATCCGGAGATAGTGTTTGCTCAATGGAAACATGGTATTACCAGCCCCTGCCACCCAGTGGCAAGGTTCTGTAACAGCACCTGCTCCCACAGTTGCCATAAAAAGAGTCAGCCTCTCTGTGACCTGAGCACCAGTTCAACCTATATTGGTGCACAAAACTGATGTAGGTTACAGAAATGTAGCAAGGTGTATGTGCCTAGAAGAGGGGTGGAGTGGGGCAGGAATTATGCTGACCACTGGAGACTGGGGGTGGGAGGGGGGGGAGGTGGCAGAGGGAGAGAAAGAAGGGTCTTACCTCCCCAGTGCTTTTCACTCAGACTGCAGCTGCTCCTGCTGCAGCTGCTGTAAGAGCGCAGGCTTGGGCTGCTGTCACCAAGGACCAGGAAGTGGTGTAGACTCCCTGGTGGGGGCTGCTTTTACTGCTCTGTTTGCCACCCCCCCCCCCCGCCCTCTCTTCCTGCCTGTGCCTTCCATGGCAAATCCGGGGGGGGGCAGGGTGGGACACATCTTTGCACCTCATGCCCCCCCAAGATGGGAATGTGCCTGCCCAGCTCCTATGGCTGGGTTGTGCAGGGCTGTGCTTACCATGGCAAAGACTCTTAGCGGAGGGGGCTGTAATGGCATCCCTTCCAAGTCAGTGCCTGGAGCTGGTGCCTGCTTGCCCCTTCTAGTTAAGCTACTGTTAGGTTGTAGAGCTATTAAAGTGTGATATATCCAAGCTTAAATGTATCCTTACAACAAGGCAGGCAAAAATATCATCTGTAACTGTGAAAATACCCAATTATACATTCTAAACAATCAGAGAATTAAAAAAAAATCTACAATAAAAATACAGTCAGTGTCTAAAGCATGGTTTGAGATACATGACTTGAAAGGCTTTGCTGATATGGGGAAGTATATCAGGAATATATTTGCTGCTTAATGCCTGGAAAGTAAACACAACTAAACATCTCAAATTCATGTGCACACAGCCAGGATTTGATAACAGCACTAGCCAATTGCCCATCATGAATGACGGAGTGTTTCAGGGAGCGTTTACATGCCCCAGCCCCACTCGTCCTTCAGGGCCAGCCATGTAAACCAGGGGCGGGCAATTATTTTGAATGGAGGGCTGCTTACTGAGTTTTGGCAAGCTATCGAGGGCCACATAGGTAGCCCTGCCCCCTGGCAGATGCCCCACTCCCTGGTCGCCATCTTGTAACCAGAAGCCCCACACCTGACCTTTGCCAGACATCCCTCCCCTTGCCCCCAGAATTAGTCCTTTCAGCAAGGGGTTTTGCCATCTTGGAACCAGAAAAATACCAAATTATATTCTAAAAAGGAAATATCTACAGTATTCATTAATTTAAATTCAAAAAATAATTTTGTCGAGATTTACATGTGTTTGTATAGTGCGCATAGAGGTGATCTCGCAACAGCTTAAATTAAGTCTTATACTTGTATGATGTGAAGGGTGGGTATAGGTTTGTGGGGGGCTATGTGTGTGTGGGTATATGGGGTGAGGAAGTGTGTAGGTGTGTGTGTGGATATGTGGGTTGTGGGTGGGTTTGGGGGGTTTGTAGCGGGATGTGTGTGGGGGGAGGGTGGCTGGGCTGTATGAGGGGGTGTGGGTGTGGGGGTCTGTATGTATGGCAGTGCCAGGGGGGTGTGGGTGCTTGTCTATGGTGGAGTGTGCATGTGGGACTCACCCTATGAACACACACACCCACACACACTGCCTCTGACTCCATACACACACACACACTCTGCCCCTGCACGCACACACACACACACACTCACACAACTCCCCCACTGGGGTATGTGCAACAGTGGGA